CCCCGTCCCCTACCGATAACCCCGTCGGCTCCGAGCGCCGCACACATCTCTGGCTTCGCCTCGGCACGGAGCCAATGAGTTCCTTCCCGCTCCAGCGAGTTCGGGGATAAACCCCGAGGCAGTGGGACGGGTTTCCCGGGGGAGCGGGGTGCCAGGGTGGGAGAGCCCAGTGCTGCCTGCTCCGCCTGCCTTCCCCGCTGCCCACCGGTGAGGCAGCCGGCACGGAGCGGCGGCAGCAGCATGTGCGTCCGCCCCGGCTCGACGCGCCGACTGACGATCCGGTGTTTTCTCGTCCCGCAGATAAGCCTCAAGTGCGGGTTTCTCAGAACTACCCGGTGCAAGGCCTCACGAGGGAAGGGGAGCCGCTGGAGCTGATGTGCGCCGCTTTCGGAAAACCACAGTAAGTTGGACTCTCCCCGAGGACGGAGCCGGTTGTCGGGAGCGCGCGGGCGCTCTCTGGCCCCCGCCGACGCCGGGTGTGCCGTTCTCTGCCACGAAGACGGTGGCACGGTGTGAAAGAGAGGGAAATTTCTGCACCCGAGCGTTTGCTGCGCAGCCCAGACATCCGTGTTGGTCCCTGAATTCCTGCCCGGAGCGCTCCGGGGAGAGCCTGCAGCAATGCCTCGAGTGCAGAACGGGGGGGCTGAGGGGAGCCGGGTCCCTCAGGTAAGGCACCTTGTCCTTCTGCTCCTGTTGACTACGTGATGGTTTTCCTCCCTTTTTGGTGCCCTGCGTGGTTTTGAGGAAACGCCAGTTTTACTCTTTCTCCTCGTCTGGCCATGCCCTCGAGGCCGCCTTACGTAGTTGAAGAAGTTTATGCATCAGGAAAATCCTGGCGAGGGAGGGTAGATTTTCTTCCACACTTCCATTGTCGTTCTAATTTAAGTTTTTTTGACTTTTTTTTTTTTTTTAAATATTTCCTCTTCCACTCGGATTTATGGCTGTCTAGTATTTACTACCCTCTTTTATTTTCATCATGTTCATGAGATTTCTGCAAACACCCCTGAAATCCGTCAGCGTCTCCCCGGTAGCGTGCCCAGAGCTGAGTTCTGTTGATTCCTGCTCCCCAGTTTCTTCCCTTGGGCACGAGGCTGGTCCTATCCCCGTACAACAGGGACCAGCACGTCCCCCACTGCACCCCGCTGCGATCTCTGTGCCCCACTCAGAGCCTCTCCGACCCCTTCGCATCCCTCTGCTCATGGGTAACTGCTGCTCCTCCCCTTAGCTATCATCTGGGAATTTAATCTGGGAATTTAACAAATAGGCTGCTTTCCTTTTTTTTTTTTTTTTTGTTCCAGGCTATGAATAAGACACACACACACGTTCAATAAGACAGACCCATCTCCCGGCAGCACGCCGTTTCTCGTTAGGGCGATGGTAGTGGCGTGCTGGGGAGTCACCCATGTAGGTCGCTTCACCTGTGTCTCTCCAGGCGTCAGAAAACACACAGCAAAACCGTGGGCTGTCTTTGGCTCTGTGTTTTTAAGAGGAACACGTTTCATAAAGCCCTTTACAGAGGTTTAGAGTGAACAGGGGCGTTTCTCCAGTTAAAACCTCTTCTCTGCAAAATTTGGCATCATGAACACTGGAATGATAAACATAATAACAGGAATAAGAGAAGAAGGAAAGTCCAGAGAGTAGAAGTTTCTCTTGTGATGTTAATACAGCTATTTTGTTAGGTTAGACACAAAAACCCCAGGGCCCTGACAAAAGTGGGAAGATACTGAACAGGTCACTTTTAGGACAGCTGGGGCCAGCCACGACTCTGAGGAGCAGGTTGGGCGAAGCCCTGGACCCCCAGAGTCACAAGCAACCATTGGCAAAGCGCAGCCAGGAGCATCAACACCCTTTCCACCCATATGGAGGTGGGCCCACAGCTCTGCTCTCCCACGGGGTGCTGCTGCCCATGCCATAGCACGGAAGCGAGGAGGAGACCGCTGAGCTCTCGTCCAAACCCAAACATCAGCTTTGTATAGCCAACGGGTTTTGCTCCGTGTTGTATCCGACCCGTAGCGTGACTGGGCTGTTGAAACGTCAGGAGCTCCTCCGTCGTGGCAGTAGCCTGCCGTACGGACAGCGGGAAGAGCCCGAGCTACGAGACACCTCCGGCAGCGCGAGCTCCCGGCAAGGTCCGGCTTGCAAAGTCTAGAGCCAGGCAGGCTGGCGAGTGTTCTGCTGCACCAACCTCCCCTGCAAAGAGCTCGCTCTTGAGTCGCCTCCGGAGATTCCCTGTTTTTGCTGGGGAAGGCTGTCTCAGGTGTAGCTGCTCTGTCCCCTGACTGCTGCTCAAACACTATAATAATAAATTTTTAACAAAATAACACCCCCTCCCCAGCCCCACAGCACTTTCTTTCCCAGCTCTAATGATACAGACTAATTTCATTCCCAAAAC